CCACTTGAGGAGGTGGTTGTGGAGCATCAATATCTTGAGCTTGTGTCACCATTTGATCATGAGAGACATGAGTATCTTTATTTTCTACTCTTTCATCTTTATCACCATCTTGTGGCATATTTAATGAAGAAGGTGGATCAATCACTTGTACATTATCTTCATCATCTTTAGGCTGTCTCCAACCAGATTGTTCTTCATAGCCTCCCTCAATGGTCTTGGAAGGTGTGTATGATCCTTAGGTCTTGGAAAACCTTGAGAGACGACTCTAAAAATTCCAACATCTAGAGCTTCTAAATAAGCCTCCATACGGATTTTTCAATAAGGAAAATCATCTCCCTCAAAGATACGAGGAGAAGAGGTCCCATGTTTGTGGGACATCTTTCTCTAGACTTCAGTTAAGCCTAAATTAAAGCATGAGCAACGTCTTGAAGGAAGGCCATGTATATACCAATTAAAAGGATCAAGATACCCAAGTCCAAATAGGGGGGTGAATTGGGCTTTTATAGGAAATTCTTTGCAATAATTAAATCCTACACCAATTCATCCCACTTCACCCCTTGTGCCTAGAATGTGTTCCTATTGTTTTCAAGTTCAAGACAAAAAGATTTTGCTAAATCCCGTAGGTTTCAATCCTACTCTAGCATGTCAATTCTAAGAATGTAAAGACAAGAAATGAATTGCTCAAATGTAAATGCTTAAAGTAAAGAGAGGAGAACCAAATGTAATTCTTTCTTGACCATTAACTTCTTCATCTAGCGCATATGTTGAGTGCAACCACTATCGATATTTTGTAGTTCACCTACACACAAGAGATCAAGCATCTTGTTGAGGGCCCTTCGCCACTGACTTTGCAACCCCCCACTAGTCCTCGTTGGAGCATCCAAGGGTTGTGGTGGTGGAGTTTGACACTCATGAGTAAAGTGAGCGCTTTGACTTGTGTTGTTGTTGGGTTAAACTTGAGCCTTCTTGTAACTCCTTCTTGATAAGCCAGTCTTGAGATGTTCTTTTTCCAATTTGAACTTCTTGTTATCTTCTTTGAGCTTAAGAGCTAGATCACAATCATGGTCAAGGTTCTCTATCAGGATCAAGTGCTCTCTCTTGAGTTAATTCTTCGACACTACCTTTGCTACTAGAACCTTGCTCAATACTCTTAATAATCAAATCATCACATGATGTGAATCGCCAACATGGTTAGTAGCATCATGTGGCTCACAACTTGAGTTGGGTAGCTTTTCATTTTTAGCTCTTGTCTTTTTAATGATTTTAGTATATTGGTTTAGCAACTTTACAAGATCATCATAAGAATCCTAGCAACTTTAAGAAGGTGATTCAAATTCATCACAAGCTCGCATCATCGGATGATCACCAAACTCCCGATCACCACCGAGCCATCTAGGTGATGGCGATCACCAAGAGTAACAAGCACAAACTCTCATTTGACCACAACAAGCCTAATGAGAAAGGTGGATGCACACTTGCTACTCTCCTTGCACTAATGAGGCCTTAATCTTGGATTCTCAAATCTCAATCACCTCACTAGGCTCTTGCTCTCCTTTGCACTCTCAAGGGTGTTTCTCGGAGATTGGCTTCCTTCTATTGCTAGTGAAGAACTTCTTCTTTTTGCCGTCAAACTTGACCTTTGTTCTTGTTGAGCTTCTTAAGCATCTTGACGGTTCTTCTCACCATGAGAGCAAGACTTGAACAAATGGGCAAGGGACCTCTCTTGGACAAGTGGAGTAAGTATTTATACCCCCTCATTCAAAAGATAACATTTGGAGGTTGAGTCATCACTCTACGAGGTGATCGGACGCTTCGATCGAGTACATTTATCTCTTTCGGAAGCATCTCCGCTTTTTCATAACAAGATGAAAAAGTCGTTTAAGCGTATAAATATCTATGTGCATGGGCGTCCTTGTGGGACTCGACTCCGTCCGACTTCATCACCGTGTATGATCCGCTGAGCGTCCGACTCAAAAAACATCTCTCTAGAACCTTCATCGATGTTGAAATTATCTCCCTGGCCCGAAGAGTCGGTCACTGGGACATCTTTCTCTAGACAGTTAAGCCTATTCAGGCTCCGATGCCAATTGAAAGGATCAAGATACCCAAGAGAGGGTGAATTGGGATAAACCCTACACGGATGTGTTCGTTCTACTAGCATAAAAGTTTTGCACCCTAGGTTCCAATCGCATGTCAATTCTAAGAATGTAAAGATGGATTGCTCAAATGTAAACGCGTCCGATGAGGAATCTCCCTCTCTGGAGTTAATCGGACGTAGGCATCCAGCATCCGGTCACAACCAGACGGCTCTAGTTTATCAAATGAACTCCCGATCACCACCGGACTCACCCTTCAAAGATCGGTCACAACGGCCCTAATGAGAAAGGCGTCTTGGTTAGTTATTTGACCATCCATTCACTTCCAACTCGAAATCATATGTGAATGAAGTTTGCTCCAATTGATCTTAGGGCTACTCCGGAGCTACCTAGTACTAGATTTGATAAGTGTGCACCACACCTAACCCACTAGACTCACCTAGGTCAAGCTACTAGTCCATACCCCCCTTAACAGTATGGCCAAAGAAAAACAAAGTCTTAAACTACTCTAAGTGTCTCTTCAACACCAAACAACACTTAGAACTAGTCTATCCTTAACTTTGTCGTCCATCCTTTGAAAACCGAAACGATTTCCATCGTAGGGGCATGACAACCATGATTACACAATCAATTGCCATTACCATGACATAACTTAATTGCCTCTGCAAAATACACGTTAGTCATAGTAATCTCATATTGTCATTAATCACCAAAACCCAACTAGGGTCTAGATGCTTTCAGGCTACCATATTCAGGCTCCCTTATGTGCCCACGGTGTTTTGTATACTAACCTACTCAATAGGTTACTCCACATTTTATTTTAAGGTGAAATGCAAATTTTAGTGAGGGCTGCCATATCCAGCTCCCTTTTGTGGCTTAACCGGCCCATAGTGTTTTCTATACTAACCTACTTAATAGGTTACTCCATATTTTATTTTAATGTGAAATGCAAATTTTAGTGAGGGCTGCCATATCCAGCTCCCTTCTGCGGCTTAACAATAACCTACCAATAGGTTATTCCACATTCTTTCGTGTACTCTTCTACTATTTCTTTATTTTTCTTGCTCGAGACATCATCCTCAGAATCTCAGATACTCGGTCCTCACTCTTTATTTACTGAACTTTTATCTTTGATTCCTTTTTACAATTTCACCTTACCTCGCTTAGGCCACACAACATTTTCAGATTCAAAATAAAAAAAAGTCGGCACTCCACTCAGGTGCGCGGCAACGCCACATGTTACTTTTCAGCAAGCTTATTAATGGAATCAGCTATTTTAAATGTAAGAACATTCCAAAACAAAAGAAGCATATTCAGGCCAAAAACATCAGTAGCACTCAGCGCATGTGCTTTTCCTGTATTAATTATTGCCCTATTCGCTTGGCTGATAAGCTATGGCGGAAAGTACTGTTGGCTGATTTGTTATGAGAGAAAAATATTATTCATTGGCTAAAAAAATATGGCTTATAAGCCAAGCGAACATGCTATAATTGTGCTACTGCTATTTATTCCCTATTAAAGCTTCTGGCAGAAAATTACGTCATGTTTCCTCTGCATCATCTGACCCTTCTTTTATGCTGATGAGTGATGACAGGCTTTGCAGGAGAGATCCATGATCTCTTGATTTTATTCTGGTCTAATAACACATTATTAGTTAGATAATAACATTGAAATGCATTGTCAACAGCCTGTTCGTTTGGTCGTATTTAGCTTATAAGTCATAGCTTATCAGCCAATGAATAATATTTTTTCTCACACCAAACCAGCCAACAGTACTTTCAGTCATGACTTATAAGCCAAACCAGCCCAAACGAACAGGGCACAAAACTGGCTTCACAACTACGGACACTCCACACTGCCGTGCGGCGACCCCGCGCTTTGTTTTCTAGGCTCTATCTAGTTTGTTGAACTTATTAATTACCAATCTATATGTTTTTCACATGTATCTATAGTTTCCCCCTTTTATGGTGTCGGGGGGTTTGTAACCGCGGCAGTAATCGGGTTGTTCGACATGAATCGATGTGTGTACCTCCGGTGGCTTAAGTACTCAAAACACAAAGAGTTTATCTTAGTTTCCGCCCCCTAGAATAATTCGCAGTTGAGATGATTTACTAATTTGTATAATATTAATAACCTGAAATAATTTTAGGAACCGTTCCCGAGCAACCGAACGGGCCTAAACCGGATACCATCGGCGTCCAACAAAGTGAATGAGGTTCTTCGTTCCTGTGCAGACGCTCAGACGGCCGGTTGGGCGGTGGCGGCACGGCGGTCCCGCGATCGAGACGGCTAAGCTGGGCTGACAGGGGCCGCTCAATCTTCGCCACGGAGACAAATTGACATTTGCCATACTGCGTCGTATGGCTTGCCATCCCCAACTCGAGTAGTCGATCACGGAAGCGTATCTCGCCCCCATCCACCACCGTCGATGGCTGGCCTGCGCCCCTGCCCCGCCGCCGCTCTCGCGCTAAGCAGACGGCCAGCCGGCTGGAGTGCTCGACGCGTCTTCCGTATTTTGCCGTGCCGCGAGCGGATGGTGGCGTCAAGAGAATCCCGTGCGTTGCGTGCATGCTGAGGGCCCGGGATGAGACGGGCCAACACGCGCCGCCCACATGGGCGTGGGTGCCCACAGGTCAATGCCCTGTCCATCAGCAAGAGCAACAAGCATAAAAAACAAACTCTGCTAGTGACAAGTCGGCGGCGGTAAGGTCGTCCACGCCGCTAGAAAGCTTGGGCTTGGCTGCCGAGCCTATAAATGGCGACCCACCCCAGCCACTTCCACTCACTTCACTCCAGCGTTCAGCATTAGACACGCACAAGGAAGAAACAGCAGCCGGAGAGAGCTCCTATCTAGCCAGTCCAGTAGTCCCGCGAGCTCGTCGAGAGAAACAGAGAGCGAGTAACATGGCGCCTGCATTGTCATTCCCGATCATCGACATGGGGCTGCTCGCCGGGGAGGAGAGGCCGGCGGCGATGGAGCTGCTGCGCGATGCGTGCCAGAACTGGGGCTTCTTCGAGGTAGACGTTCAGCATGGAAGGAGGAGGACTAATCCAACTCCAGGAACTAGAACAAATAATTAAGCTGCACAAATATATATTTGTCGTTGAGGATGGGTTTTAATTCTATCCGTTTTGTTTAATTTTGCAATTCCCTCTTGCTGTCCAGATTCTGAACCACGGCATCTCGACGGAGCTGATGGACGAGGTAGAGAAGCTGACCAAGGACCACTACAAGAGGGTGCGCGAGCAGAGGTTCCTCGAGTTCGCCAGCAAGGCGCTCAAGGACGCGCAGTGCGTGAAGGCGGCGGAGAACCTTGACTGGGAGAGCACTTTCTTCGTCCGCCACCTCCCGGAATCCAACATCGCCGAGATACCGGACCTCGACGACGAGTACCGGCGCGCGATGAAGCGGTTCGCCGGCGAGCTGGAGGCGCTGGCGGAGCGGCTGCTGGAGCTGCTGTGCGAGAACCTTGGACTGGACAGGGGCTACCTGGCGCGGGCGTTCCGCGGGCCCAGCACGGGCGCCCCGACGTTCGGCACCAAGGTGAGCAGCTACCCGCCGTGCCCGCGCCCGGACCTCGTGAGCGGCCTGCGCGCGCACACCGACGCCGGCGGCATCATCCTGCTGTTCCAGGACGACCGGGTGGGCGGGCTCCAGCTGCTCAAGGACGGCGAGTGGGTGGACGTGCCGCCCCTGCGCCACTCCATCGTCGTCAACCTGGGCGACCAGCTGGAGGTGATCACCAACGGCAGGTACAAGAGCGTGATGCACCGAGTGGTGGCGCAGCCCGACGGCAACAGGATGTCCATCGCCTCCTTCTACAACCCGGGCAGCGACGCCATCATCTTCCCCGCGCTGGCGCTGGTGAAGGCCGACGAGGCGGCCGCGGGGTCGTACCCCAGGTTCGTGTTCGAGGACTACATGAAGCTGTACGTGCGGCACAAGTTCGAGGCCAAGGAGCCACGGTTTGAGGCGTTCAAGTCCATGGAGACGAACAGCTCCAACTGCATAGCCATCGTGTAAAAGTTGGTCCCTGCGCCTTGCTCTGGTTTACTGTGTTCGAGATGTATTTGCGGCGTTCTGTTCTGCGGCATGATCGTTTATGCCTGTGTCTTTGGTCCCTCTCTGCTCTTCTTCGCTCGCTAGTTAGCCTGCTAGCTTGTTATATGTGTCGCACACTCTGTTCTGTAATATGTTTACTATTACAAAGCTATATTACGAGTGACTAAGTATATACAGTATATCGATATTGTGGAGTATGGACCATGCCAAAATGGACACATCTATGCAAAAACAGTACCTAGAATTCTCCTTTCACCAATAAAAAAATCAAGATAAATTTAAACTTGACACTACTGTGATTGTTTAAGTGAAGTCATGCTATATTGATCTTACTATTACTAAATACAAATTTGTAGAGTTACATTTCATTACGCGTTGAGGGGTCAACTATTTTTTTTGCGAATTACACAGAGGGATCAACTATTGCACGCTACTTCTAAAGCTACTATTATTAATCTAGGCCTCTATTCCTATATGACATGCAAGACCTACTTGTTAGTGACAAACACACACTCTCCTCTCTCTCCTTTTTTTGCGAAGGCTTTCTCCTTAATTATTTTCTTCCCTTCCCCTACTCCTCTGATGAAAAACCGACCTCTACCTCACCTGGCCCGACTAACGCATCTCCACCCTACCATTGTCGATGTTGTGCCACACACTGGCAGCTGTGGCCCCTCCCCACCGAGTTGCGCCTCGTCGGCTGGCCGACGGGGAGGAGCTCCATGACAAGGAGGTCCTCGGTTATAGGGAGTGGCACGATGGGGAGGGGCGTGCATGACAGGGAGGGACACGACAAGAAGGGGTGCCACGACAAGCGGGAGGGAAGAGAAGGAGCAGGCGTGGGAGCGAGGTAAAGTATCTCGTGCACAGACAGAAAACAGCCAACCGTTGGATAGAAGTAACAGTTGATACCTACTGAAATAAGGGCCGCGGTCGACACCTGTGGAAATAAGGGTTGCTGTCGGATTTTGAGGGCCTCCCTACGGGTTTGAGTAGGTGCCATGCTAACCCATCAAATTTTGGTTTAAGGGCCCTGCTGAAGTTGCTCTAAAGGTTTGTTATTGGGTGAACGTATTTCTTGATACGTCCTTCGCCCCATCTACCATCATCATCATCATGTTAGATCACCATCACCGGTCCGCCTTATGAGCACAAGGTGTCAAGTACCTCTAGATTTCAGCGTTCGTGGTTGCACATGTGCTGGCCAGGGTCACCAGTAGGTGGTTGTAAGGACTAAATGGTCCAAAAGAGGGTGAATTACGCTCTAGAAATCTAGAACAATCTTAGCTTGTGCAAAGTTCTAAATTCCCACTTGCACGATGGTACCTAAGATTTTAAGAAGACACGTTAGTAAGTCCTTAGGTCCGTCATACTAAACAAGTCTGTATCAATAAAAAGTAAACAATCATGCTAAGTAAATCTTTCAGGAACCTTTGTACACAAAATTCTAGGTATGGGTGGATCGTGTTAATTTGAGAATCGTGTTGCTCACACTACGAGTATTGGTGGATCTTAGGTAGCTTTTTTTTTGGATCTTAGGTAGGTTATGGGTGGATCATTAGGGCATACGGTAGAGATCCAGCAATTATATAAGGTAGGACATGATTAGTAAGGATTGGCTGATTGTAATTTCTTGTTTCCATCTCTATTTTTTTAAGTATCGCTTGGGATCCAAACAACCATATACACAAACAATCCAATATTCGGAATGTTTCAGCGATACAGTTATACAATCTCTGTTCAAATTTATTCGCCACAAAGAAATTCCTCTAGCTGAACAATCAGGTCCATCTGAATTAGGACGAGCACAGACTGGATCAATGTCCAAGTATTCTCACGATGCTGTTACAAGTGAGTACAACACAAGTAACTTATGAGACACGGCCGCACGGCCGTCTTGCGCAGTTTAGACGATGATACACGAACCCTTGGCTCAGCTGTACCAAGACGGAATGACTCTGGCCGGTCAGGTTTCTTCTCAGATGAACAACGTGTAGTAGATTCTTCAGACTCTCATCAGTGCACGGCATGATGCTCAGCCTGCGCGTTCGGCAAACAAGCGCCGTGCGAGAGAGACAAGCTTATTAGCCGGCGTTCGCGTGAGCGATCGATGCAAACCGCAAAGAGGGGCGCGGCGCGCGCTGACACACATACCTCGAAGACGTGCGGCACGTGGTCGGCGGCGTGGCCGTTGCCGTGGCCGATGTGATCGTGCAGCCTCACCCCGTTCTTCCTCAGCTGCTCCCTGACGAACTTGTCGTAGATGAAGGACGCGCCCCTGAACTGCGGCAGGACCAGCCACGCCACCAGCAGCAGCTTTGCCTCGTACCATAGCGGTATCCTGTGAAGAAAGGAGCAGCAATGACATTCTTTACTCTCTCTGTCTTTGAGTATGCTTATTATAGGATGGTGGACGGGACATTGTACAATTTACCGTTTGGATCCAAGAATGAATGCGTGTAAATTTACAGCGTCGACACGCATTTCAGCCAAAAACTGCAGTTTTGCGGGACAGATAAAAGGAATATATTACCGAGAAGCGACAAGTTTATTACCAGTAGAGGATGTTCTCGGCCGCCATTTCGAAGAGGGTGATGAAGGAGTAGATTATCCAGTAGGCCAGCCACTGCTCGTCATCCACCTTGGTCGCGCTCTCCATCGCGCAGATTGACGCGTACCTGATCCACGTTACGCATCTTGCACGCGTGTATTAGTTACGCCATTGCTACAAAAGAATATGATGAACCATCAAGCACCCCTGCTAATCTTTATTTGTTCACTTACAGAGGGTATATCAGAGTGAGACTCGGCCTGCACACAAGGGAAAAGAGAAGAACCTCAGCAATAGCAAGGTCACTAATCGCGGACTAAAGATCGTTTAGAGGACCAGAGGAGAGAGGATCAGCAAGCATTTACCCTGCAAGAGCGTGGACGTGGGTGATGAGCGCCCATGTCTTACCCATCTTGCTGTTCCGATTTCGATCGTAGTCACGCTCACGCACCAAATAAACTTGATCAGAACGCGGAAGCTAGCTAGCGCGATTCCTGGAGGAGGAAAGGATCGATAGGCGACGAGAAAGCTGATAGCTAGGGGGGCGCCGTGGAAAGAGGAAGATTCAGTAGGGGATGCAACGGGGTATTTTGGGCTTTATACCTGACTACCTGCGATGATGATGATCGTGAAACGTGACCGGGAGGCCGGAGGACGATGCGCTTGCACGGGGATGGCACCGCATCGGGTGCCTAGCTTGGACGCGGCGTCCAAGGCAGGCCGGGTCGCGCCCTCGCCCGACCAGATCTCCCCAGGCTCGAATCGCTTTGCGTGGTGACAGTGAAAATGCCTACCTGCTCCCCCCATCCCGGTGCCGGACCACGGCGCATGTGCGGCGCATTTCCTCGAGGCCTTTCGACCTTGTCTAGATGATGGTTGGAAATCAGTATTTGATATGGTAGCACTTTCGTTTGTATTTAATAATTATTATTCAATCATGGTTTAACTAGGCTCAAAAGATTCGTCTCGTAATTTTACAATCAAACTGTGTAATTAGTTATTTTTTTATCTACATTTAATACTCTATGCATGTGTCCAAAGATTTGATGTGACGGAGAGAGAGTGAAAAAACTTAGAATCTAAACAAGGCCTTCGTTTTCCTTCGTCGGAATCCGAACCCCGGATCAGGGATAGCCGGCAGCCTATCACGTCTCTGCAAACAGAAGGGCCAGTGCCCAGACGTCAGGACGGGATATCGCGTCCGCACACAGCTCCCCCGCCCGCATCCGGTCCCACGCCACTCGTCCGCATCCCGACCCACGCTCCCGCGTCCTCATTCCGCCCAGCTCCAGCGCCCACGTCCGTAGCAGGACCCGTGACCCCGCGCGCGCACCCCACGTGGATTGACCGACGGCTGCGCCTCAGCATCAAGCTGTCCGCCAGCCACCGGCGCCGTTCAATACCCCGATCTTTTCAAAACGCACGAGGAAATCCAGATAAAAACATTTGTAACGTACGTCTGAAACGGATGAAACACTTGAGACATGTGTGTATAGATATAGCAACATATGCAACATCCACAGATGTACTTTTGCAACATCCGGATGAAACATATGAAACACTTGAAACATACGCTTGAACACATGCGGGTAGAGCCATAGCAACACAAAACATCTGAAATACTTGAAACATAGGCTTGCAACATGACATTCTAGATCTACTTTTGCAACATCCAGATGAAACACTTGAAACACAAGTCTGAAACGGTTGAAACACAACGCAGCGTCACTGGCGACCACGGCCTACCTGATGGGGGAACTGCGGTAGTCAGCAAGCTCGGGCTAGGGGGCGTCGAGAGCTACCCAGCGTACAACCAGGCATAGGTGCTGCCCTTCCCTTCCTGCCGTGGTGTCTTCGGCCGGCTGCGTGCAATCCATGGCCGCGACGGCGCGAGGTGGATGGGGGCATGGTGCGGGGCGCGAAGGAGTGCGGTGCAACCACGTTGGATAAGGCCACAACGGCCGGAGAAGGCGAGCGGCGGGCGAGCGGCGCGTTGGATGCGCTAGCAACGGTCACATGCGTGCGACGGTGGGGAAAGAAAATGTCGTTGTCTTTTCGAGAAACCATGAAACACTTAAGGTGGAGCGGAACAGCCAAGCAGACCTGTTGAGCCCAATTGCTGCGCAGGCCCGAGAACGGCCCGTCTGGACGGATATGCCTGGACGTAGGGATAAAAACGGATCGGATACGGACGGATATCACTGATATTACATTTGCTTTTATATTTCTGTTCGGATGATACGGACGGATATCACTGATATTACATTTGCTTTTATATTTCTGTTCGGATTCGGATTCGCATATGGATAGTGGCAATCATGCCGGATAGGATACGATTAGATAACGACATTATAAATTTGTGATTTGAATATTCGGATACGGATACGGTATCAGATGTTGAATCTTTAGACTTGGATACTGAATCCCTCTAAATAAATTCGGTCTTAAATATGATCGGAAAATATCTGTAACGTATTCACACCCAGGACGGACGTCCTCGCCAGATAATTTCCGCTCTTGAAACAACTTGAAGTTTTAGTATTCTTCTGTTTATTATTAGGCAGACTACCAGAATGAGATGAGGCTTTCAATTTCATACTGGGAAACCTGGGCCAAAAGCCCGGAATCGGAAGGCCCGAAACTCAAGCAGACAAGATCTACGAAGTGGGCTGTGCAGAACACAACGTATCTTAGGCCCATTTGATGCCGACTCCATGGTCCGCCGACGGCCGACCAGATATGGAATCCAGTTTTCCTCAAATCAAAAAAAGAAAAAGAAAAAAAAGGAATCCAACTTTGCAGACTCCACAGTCCAACAGGCGGGGCCAAAGAAAGAACAGAGCTGTTCGTGCTCCATTCTCGATTGAAGGTGCAAGAGCCTGTAGTTTACAGCTGTAGATTGGAGGAGCGCTCAGACTCAGGTCAGGTCTGGTGGTGACTGGTGTACTGTACCTTGTCCTGTACGGCTGTACCGTCAGATTATGCATGCTGCCAGTGTTGAGTGATTAGATCAATACCAACCCTTTGGACTTCCTCTCGGATTCCTGAAGTCGCTCTCCCACAGCGATGACTTGTGACCACTGACAGCGTTGTGGCTGTGTCTGAACTGTGAACGCGAGAGAGGAACGTTCTGAACGAAAGGAGAACCAGCTAGTACTACACTGCAGCTGAAATCTTTTCAGGTAGCTGTCAGTGGCGCGCCTGCTTTGTCCTCGCCTGGAATGTTGCTTAGATTAGAAGCATGTCGGCAGATGCAAAGCTGAATGCGGCCATGATTAAAAGGCGCTAAACTCCGGTGAACGAAGGTTGGCTGCGCATGGGATCAGTGCTGCGGTGTCAAAGGCCGTTGCTCGTACGTGTTTTTTATGGGAAGTGCGATTAATCGGCATAACTCCCAACGTATACTAGCTCTGTAGTAGAGATTGTATGCACTATCCAGCCCCGCCTACTATTGTCCTTTATCAGAGCAGCTCAGTTCTGTGGCTGAGGCCACGAGTTCAGAGTAGGAACAGAGGCGCATGCAGGTGCCATGTCCTCAAGGCATCCATCCTATCCATGCGTTATTGTGCTCTGTCCAACGTCTACTTCAGTTGGCGGCAACATACGAGCCTGCGAATGCCAAGCATTAATACTCTGCTCCACGCCTCCGTGGCTCCGCCCAACAATACGTACCTTAAGTCACACAGAAAAAGCAATACGTACCTTGAGTTTTCCCGCGAATGCAGGCAGCACAGCCCACTCAGCTAGTCAGCTGCACTGCATTTGGGCAGTGAAGTACTCCCTCCGTCCCATTGAGTTTGTCGTTGGAAAACCGTGCCCCCCTCACAATCCCGCTTTCCGAGCGACAATCTTAACGGGACGGAGGGAGTAGGAGTACTACCGTACAACCCAAAGCCTGTACCTGTGCAGAGCATGATCGTGTGTATAGTACCAATGCAATAGCTGAAAACGACATGACATTTTGTGCTTAACCAACCAATCAAGTTGGCGCATGCGATTAATAGTAGATGAGATACGCATTATCCGAATGAGTTTCGCCAACAGGTCGCCAGTAGCGACGGGGAAGGGGCCGGAGCATCACGTATGCCCTCCCGTCGGCCTGTTCGCTGGTTGGTTGAGCTGATAAGTCTAGCTGATGTTGATTTTATATGAGAAAAAAATACTATTAATTGGCTGATAAGCTGTGGCTGTAACAATGAACCAACAGGCCGCAGGTTTATCCTCGCACTGTCACAGACCTGTCCTGGCGTCCTGCTCTGCTCTCTGGTCACCACGAACTTGTGTGTTTTTTTTTTGTACGGTTGGGCCGTCACCATCGGAGAGATGCCGACGGCCGGCCGGGGAAGTACGGCGCGGCTTTTGCTAGCCAGAACCCGGTCCCCCGGCCCGATGCCTCTACCTACTCCGCCGGTCCACGCCTTCTACGTACGTCGCCGCAGCCAACTCTGTCGAGCCGGCATGCCAAAAGTCGCAGGCGCAGGCGCGCAGCTACCGCTCGGTGTGCCCACGTCGTCGTGCGTGGAGTACGTAGTACTAGTACTAGTACTAGTACTAGTATCTGCTGCCGCACGGCGACGCTGGTCGAGTCCGGCTCGTGCGCCTGTCTGCCTACCTAGCCAGCCTGGCGCCCTGGCCCTGCCCTGGTGCGCATTCGTGCCGGTGACGTGGTCGAGGTGTCAGTCACGGCCGAATGAAAGGGAGGAGCAACGTACGCCGCTGACGACCGCATCCACTTTCTGGCCCTGTTCCCTCTGCTGAAAACCCTTCGGCCCTGCCGACGTGCAACAGGTGAGCAGCCGTCCGGTGCTCCCTCCTGTAGTCCTGTGTGAGCACGGCGCTGTTGCGCGCGCGCAGGGCGATGTTCACGGCGGTCGGATCGCTGCTGGATCCAGTTTGCGCGCTGTGAGGATGTGAGAGTGGTGGGGACGCTGAGCTGAACCGCCGGACGTGAGAGCTCATCTGTTGGTGTCTCCCAGTGGCCACGGGCTCCGTTTTGGTCCTTTCCTTTTGTTTCCTTCTCCCAACTCGCAACGCAAGGCCACCGACAGGCGACAGTTAAAAGGCGCGCTTTTTATTTTTATCTTTGCATTCGGTGATGCTGGAATCAATTTGCAAAAGCGGCAGATTGTGCATGAGCATCCCGGAGCGCCATGGGTCCGTGTCTCAACTGACAGTCACGCAACTTAATTGGAGGGGGCTAGTTGCAGTCCTAATGGAAAAGGAGGTAGGTTATAGATACAAAGATTTAGTGAAATGGGCATTTCAAAGTTTGAATCTCTCAACTTTGGTGTCATAACCTCAACATTGTCCTATGCAAGAAAAAGAAAAGAGGAACCGCAGAGTAATTCGAAAAAAGAAGAAGAACCGCAGAGTAATTCGAAAAAAAAAGAAGAAGAAGACAAACCGCAGAGT